GTTCCACTGACCACCAGCACAAGGGGGAAAAGTTCCACTGACCACCAGCACATGGGGGAAAAAATCCACTGATCACCAACTCAAGGGGCAAAGTTATACTGACCACCAGCACAAGCTAAAATATGTGTTAATAAAAACTAATGTATTAAAATTCACAGCCAGTCTAATATATAGATATATATATATATCTATATATATAAAAATCCTTGGCAGCGCACTGACCGGCCATGTGAAAGCTCGGACGAGTCATGGCTAATGAGTCACAGCTCGTGACATCATCGCCTGGTGCCACTACTCCTTTCTGAGCATGAGCATGACCCCTATATGCACTGTTATCCGATGCTCGCTGCTGGGGCGATGCTGGAGCAACTTGGCATGCGTTCTGACAGAGAGGGCTCTGCGTGCCATAGGTTCACCACCACTGTCCTATTCCATAGTTCTGATAAATCTAAAGAAAATTGTACAGAGATTGTACAATCAGATTGCATAGTGTATGTCCATCTTCATACAAGTACATAGGAGGGAGTGAATGGAGACACTCAGTTGTCAGGCTCTGTTCACATCTTGTTTCCGCGTGCGTTTGTTTTGGAGCATTTTCACTTGCCATGCATATTGAAGCCAATTCACTTGAACGGGCTGCCCTACACACAACTATCACCCCAGAAAAACTCCAGAACTTTTTTGGGAGCAGAGCACGGTGATTTACTGCAGTTTTTGGTGCATTTTCTGCACTTGGGGTGCCTTTAACATGTAATGACAACAAAAACACAATGCACATTTGCAGCATGTTTCTGAAACGCATGGCAAAGTGCACATTTTTTCTGCAGATTTCCATGCGTTCAGAAACACACAAATATGAATGAAGCCTCATTGTTCTCATGTAAACAAACCAATTTCACTTTCAGGCCCCATTCCCACCAAGAGCAGCGGGAGCACATTCTTTTTTGCAGTGACACACATAGGGCAGACCATTGATTTCAACGGGCTGTGCTACAAGTGGCAAAGTAGCTCATGGGACATTGTGGCGTGGTGCGAGTTGCACATTTTTTACTGCATGATTTGCTGCATTTGTCACACGTTTTTTTATGTGGCAAAATGTGTGCTTGTTTCTGTGTTTGGTGAGTCGTTAACAATTAATGACATTGAAAGTGCAACTTGGTCATTGTAGGTGTATGACTGTGACTATACACTAATACAATCTGATTGTACAATCTCTGTATGATCTCCTTTAGATTTACCAAAACTATGTGATAGGAGAACACACTTATCTATCCAATCACTCTGTATCCAATCATGCAAGCCCTTATACTACATCAGGGATGTCCCGTGCGCTGCATGCGGATCCAAGGAGTTTATCATGCGGCCTGAGCCTGTTTGAAGGAATGCTGGGTTATCCAGACTAAAGCACGTGTGGAGAGATGCCAGGAATGCTGTAAATCAATAGTTGATGGGTGTGGATTTTATTGAGGTCAGTGCAGGATTTGTGTGCCAAAAAAGATCAGGTGGGAATCTGCTTCCTGAGACTTACTGGCTCCTCTGTCCTAAATCTACATGCCAGCAAGTGATGAAGTTTCCTAAGAAATAAAGCAGGGGCTAAGGTTCTCAAAATCAAAGAGAGATTGTATTTTTTGGCGACTGAGATACATTAATGGTATATTGGTGCATAGGGGAGCTGGATTTTGGGGAAAAAAAGGGGGAAACTTTGATTGGCTGATTGGCTACAATGCACAGCAGCACCAGATTCTGAGGGTTCCAGTTTAAGTAAATCTGCCCCAACATGTTGTGGTAACAAAATGGTAAAACCTGATTATTACTGCAATGCATTGTAACACATGATCACCTATACAGTGCACAACACACCTTGTGATATTACCCCAAAGCATGTGCATTGTATGGAGCCACACTGCAAAGATAGGAAAATATGCGTCTGTGCTCATTTTAAAATGATTGGGCTAATACACTTTAATATGCAAAATACCACCATACATATGAAAAGGGGCCATAAAAATGGCTTTCAAAAGTATCTAAACATGTTGAATCTTACATCTACATTGTTAATTCAGTAATTAGACCAAGGCGAATCTTCTTCGAAATTCGGTGACCTGGAACTTAGAAGTCATTGAAGTCTATAGTGTTAAATCTTGTTGAATTCTGACTTTTTTATGGCTAATAGGTATAAGGCACTAGAAACTGGTTATTGCCATGAAAGACATGTACTACTAGAAAAAATAAAACAAAACACACATTGGAGTGTGTTTTCATGCTTGGGGAATGCCTTACCAACATAAAATAATAACGCAGTTTTACCTTAAAAAAAAGCTCTATGAAAAAAAAAAACACATGAAAACTCCAAAATACCCATCACAAAAGCCCAAAAGCCTTCCATCAAAAAAAGTTTGCTATGGGTGGGATGGATGTGCCCCTTTTATTTGCCCTTCCAAGCCATCTGGCCAACGTTCAAAGGCTGTGCAGTGCATTATGGTTAAAAAAATAAATCTCCAGCGCGAATTTGCACATTAATTCGCCAGGACCACAAATCTCTAATCCACAGGGTTTGGCTCAAAAACATGGCAGCAGCGAACCTTATCCTCATCCATAATTATTAGTATTAGAAATATTATTTATAATTTCTTACATCAAATACAAACCAAAAGAATACCTGAAACAAATGTATAGTTAAAGATTAAAGGCAAGGTGAGCAAACACATGTAGATGTTGCATTGAAGCTCACTCAGTCTGGCACAAAACACAGATATTGAGTCACTCTAAATTTTTAAAGAAAGGGAAAGGAAAAGGAGACTAAAAAGATATCCAAAAGCTTTGAATATGCCAGTCAGTACTGTTCAATGACTTATTAAGAAGTGGAAAATTCAGGGATCTCTTGATACCAAGCCAAGGTCAGAAAGATTGCAGCCACAACTGCCAGAAGAATTGTTTGGGGGACAAAGAAAAACCCGCAGGTAACCTCAGGAGAAATACAGGCTGCTCTGGAAAAATACGATGTGGTTGTTTCCAGGAGCACATGACTATTGCACCAGAGATAGGCTCGTCCACTTCCCCATTACCACCATTACCGTTCCGCACCAACCCCCTTCCCCTTAACCAATTATACTAACAAAAGACATAACACCAATTTTGGAGTAAATGGCCAACATGGCCTTTTATTAACAACTCAAGTTACAATACACCAACCATTCCTTATAACAGAAACCCACATAATTGTTGTTGGTCTTCGAAGGCACCCCAAAACGATCCGAAATGCACCTGCGGACAACCATATACACTAGGCCTCCAGCCGCAACCAACCAGCTCGGAGACAACCATACCGTCCGCAGTGCAGCACCACCACCTTCCAGTTAAACCTTGGTTAACTGGGAATGTCCCCGGGCATCCCATACCACGGATGGGTCCCACACCATTGTTGTTTACCTTCCAAATAAGAACCGCCTCCAAAGACCACCAACCGCCACCAACCATTCCTTATAACAGAAACCCACAGAATTGTTGTTGGTCTTCGAAGGCACCCCAAAACGATCCGAAATGTACCTGCGGACAACCATATACACTAGGCCTCCAGCCGCAAACCAACCAGCTCAGAGACAACCATACCGTCCGCAGTGCAGCACCACCACCTTCCAGTTAAACCTTGGTTAACTGGGAATGTCCCCGGGCATCCCATACCACGGATGGGTCCCACACCATTGTTGTTTACCTTCCAAATAAGAACCGCCTCCAAAGACCAACAACCGCCCATGAACCAACATAATCCCCCCCTCTACCTGGAGGGACCCAAAACTCACCCAAACAGGGAGGGCGGGAGGGAAGCTCACACTCTTGCCGTCCAGCTAACTGACTCCCCCTCACAGAACCTCCCATCCTAAGGTGCAGCAAAACCCCACCTACACCAACCTCTACCAATCAGCTACCCCCCACTAACAATAACAAAATCCTCCTGGAGCTACCTTAACCCTTTCTGCTCTTCCTTCCCCCCCACTCTGGGCCTAGTCATGTATGCCCTGCGCTATTTCTTCTTTCTTTCGCTACGGGCATTTCTATATGACGATACTTCAACAAAAATGAGCTGCATGGTTGAGCTGCCATAAAGAAGCCTTTACTGCACCAATGCCACAAAAAAAACTGGGTGACAATATGCCCGGCAACACCTTGACATGCCTCACAGTTGGCACACTGTAATCTGGAGTGACAAGACCAAAATAGAGCTTTATGGACGCAACTATAAGTGCCATGTTTGGAGATGGGTCAGCAAAGCTTACAGCGACAAGAATATCATCCCCACTGTGAACCATGGTGGTGGCTCACTAATGGGTTTTTTTTTTGGGAGGGGGTGGGGCTCTAAAGGCATGTTGAATCATGTGAAAATTGATAGCAAGATGAATGCAGCATCAGAAAATACTAGCAGACAATTTTCATTCTTCTACACAAAAGCTATGCATAGGACGCTCTTGGACTTTCCAGCATGACAATGACCATAAGCACAAGGCCAAGTTTACCCTCCAGTGGTTACAGCAGAAAAAGATAAAGGTTCTGGAGTGGCCATCACAGTTCCTGACCTTAATATCATTGAGCCACTTTGGGGAGATCTCAAACGTGCGGTTCATGCAAGACGACCAAAGACTTTGCATAACCCGGAGCCATTTTGCCAAGACGAATGGGCAGCTATACCACCTGCAAGAATTCAAGGGCCTCAATGACAACTATTACAAAAGACTGCATGCTGTCATTGATGCTAAAGGAGGCAATACACAGTATAGGAACTAAGGGTATGCAGACTTTTGAACAAAACAGGGGTCATTTCATTTGTGTACTTGTTGCCATGTTTTGTTTTATGACCTGCAGTTGAATATGACTCCCATAAGAAATAATAGAAATGTGTTTTGCCTGCTAAGTCACTCACTGCTCGTGTTTTCTGCTTCAACTCCGCCCCATAGCAGAAATACTGCTACAGGGCGGCAGCTGTGTGCAAAATCACATACATATACATGATTTTGCATTTCTGGGTAGGGTGTCTGCGCGAGGAGCGCTGTCGCGGTCGCCCTACCCGAGCCATGGCTGTCAATCGGAGCCCGATGATTGCTGAGGATCTCCGACAAGGAGGAGTACTGTTAGTAAACAAAACAGTTCATCCCTGTCAGCTCCTGCACACCGCTTTGCATGGCTGCACACAGCAAAGTCATGCAAAGCAGTGTGCTTACAGTGAAGCACAAACACAAAACATTGTGTAAAACAGCACACAGTTAACCCTTTGATCACCCCAGATGTTAACCCGTTCCTGCCCAGTACCATTAGTACAGTATCAGTGCTTTTTATTATCACTGATCACTGTGTTGGTGTCACTGGGGATGTCAGTGACACCAAGTCAGTTCCCTCCAGTGTCTGAATGACCACTGCAGTCCCGCAGTCCCGCAGTCCCACTATAAGTTGCTAATCACTGGCATTACTAGTAAAAACTTTTACGTAAACCAATTAATTTACACGTATTGGGATTTTTTTTACCAAAGACATGTCGCAGAATACATTTTAACCTAAATTTATAGGGAAATTAGATTTTTTAATTTTTTTACTGTACATGTTTAATAGCAAAAAGTCAAAAATATTGTTTTTTTTCTAAAAATTGTCGGTCTTTTTTTTTTAACAGCGCAAAAAAAAAAAAACACACAGGCGATCAAATACCACCCAAAGAAAGCTCTATTCGTGGGAAAAAAAGAAGTACTGTAAATTTAATTTGAATGCAGTGTTGCATGACCGCGCAATTGTCAGTTAAAGTAACTCAGCGTTGTAGCGCAAAAAATGGCCAGGTCAGGAAGGGGGGTAAATCCTCTGGAGGGAAAGTGGTTAAAAATGATATATGATAGTATTCTCAAAGGGTATGCAAGTTTTTTAGCACGTGTATTACAAAGAGGATTGGCACAAGTGACTTGTAATTAATTCTCTTTTATTTATATAAAACAGACATATTTACACATGAGCAGGGGCGGACTGACAACTCATGGGGCCCCCGGGCAATAGGGATCATGGGGCCACTGTGTCATTGCCCAAACTCAAAAAAGCCTATGAAAAGGGTACCAGGGGCATCTCATGGGGCCCCCTACTGACCCAGGGCCCTCGGGCAGTGCCCAAGTTTCCAAATGGTCAGTCCGCCCCTGCACATGAGTGGCATCCACATGACTGGGACCAGGTATGTAGGTATATCTCAGCACGCCTGGTATAATATTTAAAGGAAGCAGTTCAGTGTTTTAGCCCCATCATCTCATAAGGCAGTGCCACTAGAAGCTTCTCAAACCATGCTGCCTAATTTAGCATATTTGCTGCCCAGTAAAACACTTTTTGGGGCCTGGTTCGTATTCCGAACACGACTTCATTGTTACTGGCTTGGAAATTCATAATTTTGAGGTTTGTGATTTTTTAAAAAGTTTGGCTGTATCACAACTGATTGAATGTTTGAGACACATGCTCATCTCTGATCCTAAAGCCTAGTACACACGATCAGTTTTTTATTCCCTCAACCAAGTGGTCTGAACGGAAGCTAAGAAGCGTGGGAGGAGATCCTGTACTTACAATCCAATGCTAGTACAACGATCTCCCCTCTGAGCTATTGAGTTCTGACAGGGGAATGCCCCCCCTTCCCCACCAGAACGAACTGGTCAGTGCTCTCAGCCATTGGCTGTAAATGCTGATTGAATGCCGATTGGTAGACCAGGTCATGCCCCTTCGACAGAAGCCAGACATTCGGCCACCTTCTGTCGGACCAGATGCTGTATACATGGGCCAAATGTCAGGTGGTTTCTATAGAACCGATCTTAACTGCCCGATATTCGACCTTGTGTATGGGGCTTAACAGAGGAATCTGCCTACATGCTCCAGTGTCAGAAACCCAGCCCTGTCCTTGGTAATAATCCTTTCCAGAGACACTGTGAAAAGCCCTGAATCTGGCTATGATGGATTATATAAGGCTCTGAATAACCTCCTCGGCGGTCTGATTATTTCCGATTTTTGGTGCTGAAAGAGGTACCATTATTTTGCATGGAAATATGTAGTTTTTTATTGTAGGCTGTAATATTTAGGAATAACTCACTGAAATCTGCCCAAACAAGAGTCTAGTAAACATCCCGGGTATGATAAAATTTGAAACACAAAATCATAAATTATAATTTAATAAATAATCATAAAAAATAATAATATAATAATAATAAAATTTAATTCAATAATATAATCAAACCAAAAACACTGAAATTTGAAATACAGAGGCAAATTCGCACATCGCTGAGCAAAGTCGCAAAATCGTTTTCAGTGTCTGATGACGAATTTCTCCACAAATCATTATCACTCAATTCTGCAAGTGGTTCTAATTTACTATCGCTGTTCTCTAGCTGGTCTAAAATCGCTTTTGACGTAAAGGGACGCTTTTTGGACGCCATGGACTTTTCTAAGTTTCCAGGCAGAAAGAACAGTCAAAATGCAGGCAGGGCACAGGACAAAGCAGTAGGGACAAAATGTATGTGAAATGTATTGAAACAGCAATGTTTTACTATGTAATAATCATTTTTTAAAAAATGATATTTTTAAAAAATTTCAAATTTGCCGCCGGTTCCGGCGCCCGTACGTCCCGACGTCACAGGGACCGGAACACGGAAGCCGGAGGAGATGGCCGGGGACGCTGCAGGGGACACATCGTGGTAGCGAAGGACAAGGTAAGTGCTGCAGGGACTCCCAGAGCAACGCCGCATGGTAAGCCCGAGTGTAGCTCGGGGTTACCGCTCTTGGTACTCAAATTTTACCCCGAACTACACTATACCGCTAAGGAGGTTAAAGGTAAGTAGACCTTTTACCTTTTTTATGGTAAACTGATTGTACTTTTTTGACAACTGAAATGCTTCCTAGATAACAGTATTAGCAGTAAACTGATTGTTTTGTTGATCAGTGTAATAATATGTGGGCATTACCAGGGGTGTATTTACCACAAGGCAAACAAGGCATTTGCCTAGGGTGACATTTTTCAGGGGGGGCAGCACTGCCCTTTGGAGAGAGGGACACATGAGGCATGGGGACCTGGTGGGTTCCGAGAGATGCTGTGGGTTTCATGACGATGTATGCACAGCCCGACTCTCATTCCTGAGGATGTCCAGAGCTGTGAAGGTGAGTGTCTTTCTCTCTCTCGCCATGGGAGATGGTGGCCGGTGTATAGGGGGCAGTGGTAGTTGAAGGCTCGGGTGGAGGGCAGGGGTGCTCTTGGTCAATGTCAGGCTCTTGCTGCGGGGGGGCGCCAATTCTTGTGTTGCCTAGGGCAGCACAAAACCTAAATACACCACTGGGCCTTACAAAAAAATGGGAAATAAATAATTTCACTTAATGGTTACATTTGAATTTGTGAATGTAAAGGCAGAGCATAAATGACATGTCAAGTTCACAAAGCCGTAGCAAGTCAGTAAGAATTAAGTTTATCTGTCAGATTGGTAAAATATGATTTTTGGTTGTTTTTTATGGATTTTTGCACTTTGCTTGCCATTTCTTCTCAGTGCTTTCTTTCACTAAATAACTGATATTATTTGGAAAGTGCCGTGTAAAAAAGACCTGAGACAATGCGGCAGAGGACAATGCAGTAGAATGCATTCATTGTCAATTTAAAGAACATCTCTCTGCCAAATGTTTGTGCTGTATCGATGTTATTCCCAATAGTTTTGTGCAGCGTGATTTCGGAGGTAAAGGTGAAGGGGAACATCTGCTGACAGTGAAATAGGAAGGCATGTGAGTGTGACAGTGTACAGTGAGACGTGTTCGCCGGTAATTACAAAAACTATTTCAATATGGGTTATTCATTTATAAAACTACAAGCTAAGCTATAAAAATACAAAGCAGTTTTTCAATAAACAATATGGCAAAAAGAGATGTTGAGCAAGTCCACTCAAGACACATTTTTACAGTTTGGGTGTAGGGTATGATCCAATCCTGAGAATTCATTGCATTCTAGGACATTGGTAGGGACATTTTCCCTGAACCCAGGAGGGCTGTGATGGGTTTAACTTGACTTTCTAGACCAGCTACTAATTTTACTTGCCTGAGTTCTCCATCTGTTTCTAGGTGAAATCTACTAGAGGGAGCAAGGGAAAGAAATAGTGGGTCATGTGACCTATTATGGGTTCTTGCTAAAATGATAAAGACAAACTGAGACATTGATTAATGTATCACTGAATATTCACAGGTGCTGAATGCATAAAAAAGAGTAATTAGCATTTCGGAACAACCTCTCCTGTGCCCTGAACATACTCCCTAGGGCAGCCTTTCTCAACCTTTTTACAAAAGTAAGGCCACAGGTGTCTTCAGTCTGGAGGTTCAGGTGGTTGAAGTTATTGCCACCCCACTAGGTGGTGGACTTTAGTAGACAGTATTCCGGAGACAGTTGGCACTATTGTGATTGGGCCTTACAATGAAGCTGCTACCTCATGCTCTAGCCGGAGGACCACATATTTGAAGCCCCAGTGCCTGGTGACAGCTCATGTGCCCAGTAACTGCAGTCCCAACAGGTGTGGTTGTTCCGAACCCTTAAGTTTGGGAAAAACTTGAATACTTATACCCTTGGTGTGTCCAGGAATCCAGAACATGATGGAAGCCCACAGGATTATGAGGAATGGAGCTAAAGCAGCCCATGTCTCTTACTCCGGAATACATGCAAAGGGGCACTTCGCTGCAGTTCTTTCACCCCCTCCTTTACCATGTTTCAGGTAAGGGGAAGGACCCACAGCCTCCATGTGTACGCTGTCAAATCCTGTCAACAGGAGAAGCTGCTCACCACTGATGGAAAGAGGAATAAAAAGGTTATACCAATCCCCAAGTGGTGAATTCACTCTTATACAGTATATTTTCCCACATTCTATTTTGTTTGATCACAATTATCAGTAAGGAAGTGATGATTGCTTTATTATTACTTTGGAAGCAAAAAAAAGTTTTGCCTCCCTATAGGTGATTTTTGTTATAAATTGGTACATTGTCTTAAAAAATATAATGAGAAAGTGAAGGCCAAGCTATTAATATAGATGTAAACCCAATCACTAAAGCATCATAAAAGCTGTTAGGTGTCATTTCAAACCTTGTTTTAAATCTGCAGCATTCTCTAACCTCTTTACACGGGCAGGAGCTGGCACTGGCCAAGATGTCTGAGGCTGGTAGGTGGGGCGCACAGTCTTGCAGTGCTGATGTCATTGATAGCCAGTACAGTCAACAGCAGAAGCTGTCAGTGACAGCTCAGTTCTGGGGGTGCAGATGGAGTACGCCCCAGACCAAGACAGCAATGCATATATGCAGCTGCTGGGCATTGAGGCTCACCCGTCCTTCTGATATATAAGTGTGTGATGCTTACATAGTCACATAGTTAATACGACTGAAAAAAGGACACAAGGCTACC